CGGGTGGGTGGGGCGGGTGGCAGTGGGTGAGCTCCCGAGGGCCCTTCCACCCCTTGCCATTCTGTGACTCTGTGAGTGGGACCCCAGGGTGACCGTCGTCTCGCTGAAGGTCTGCGGGTACAAGGGCCCCCCGTGCAAAATTTCTGTGCTTTTTCTTCCTCCGTGTTACACAAGGCATGGGTTTCCATCAGCACCAGCCACCAGCTGCCGCTTCCCCAGCACCTCTTGGGGTTGGTGGGACCCTGGGGGCTGAGGGAACAGGGGAAGTCCTCCAGATTCAGCCGCTGCTGCAGTGCTGGACCACAACCAGGCCGTAATTTCGGGGGGTGGGGGGGCGGTTCTGCCATTTCAGTGCTGCCTGGCCTGCCACAGGAAGTGTCTCGAGAATCTGCTCATCACCTGCGGCCACAAGAAGCTGCCCAACCGAGTGCCTCTCTTTGGCATCGACTTCACCCAGGTTCCTCGAGATTTCCCAGAGGAAGTTCCCTTCATCGTGGTGAAATGCACCTCGGAAATTGAAGCCCGTGCCCTCGGGGTGCAGGTGAGCAGGCAGTTACTCTTGCTTTAGTTTCCTCTTCTCTGTATCCAAAACTCCTGACCCTCTCTCCCCTCGGAACCACGCAGGGGATCTATCGGATAAGTGGATCCAAAGCCCGGGTGGAAAAGCTCTGCCAGGCATTCGAGAGCGGACGGAGCCTGGTGGAGCTCTCCGAGCACTCCCCCCACGATATCACCGGCGTCCTGAAGCATTTCCTGAAGGAAGTGGGTACCAAACCTCTGCCGGGAGGGCAGGTCTCAGCCAACCGCGTTCCTCGGCGCCGGAGCAGCGGGATGAAGTAACGTGCTGTTTTCCTCCCCTCTCGCTGCAGCTTTCGGCACCGGTGCTGCTATCCCAGCTCTACGATGATCTCATTGCGCTCGCCAAAGATCTGCAAAAGCCTGGGGAGGAAAAGTTGGATGGCGCAGGCTTCCCTTCCGACCCCATCCAGAGCATGAAGGACTTGCTAAGCAAATTGCCAGGAAGCAACTACAACACTCTGCGGCACCTCATCGCACACCTGTACAGGTGAGGAGCGTGCTGGTCAGCGCGCTGGTTGGCATCAGGTCCGAGCACAGGAGATCCCCATCTGGCCTGGTTGCCAGAGGATCGGTGCTGGGCTCCCCAGGTCAAGGAGGAGGAGGAGCTACTGGGGAGAGCCCAGAGGAGGGCAACCAAGCTGATGGGGGGCCTGGGGCATCTCCCCTAGGAGGAAAGGCTGAGGGAGCTGGGCTTGTTCAGCCTGGAGCAGAGGGGGCTGCGGGGGGACCTGAGTGCGGCCGCTCAGGGCTTCAAGGGGGCCCCCAGGGAAGACGGGGACAATCTTTTGAGCAGGGCCGGCTGGGACAGGCCACGGGGGGATGGTTTGAAACCAAAGCAGGGCGGGTTTCGCCTGGATGGAAGGCAGAAATCCTTGGCCCTGAGGGTGGGAAAGAGCAGGAGGGGTTGCCCAGGGCGGTGGTGGAGGCCCCATCCCTGGGAACATCCAAGGCCAGGTTGGCCGGGGCTGTGGGCAACCTGCTCTGGTTCAAGGTTAAACAGGGGTTCCTGCAGGGGGGTGGGGCTGGGTGACCTCTCGGGGTCCCTTCCACCCCAAACCATTCCAGGATTTTGTGACTCCTCGACCTGGGAAAGCCAAGCAGGAGGTTGAGGAGGGTAAAAAAATGAATTCATGGAAAGGATCATCCTGCAGCAATTAGCAGAAAGTCTTAATGACCAAGAGGGACCAGAAGATCCTTACTTGATAACGCTTTGTGAAGTGCAGAGCAAGGGGTCAAGGAATAACGTGAACTGAAGCCTTTTTCGCCCAGCTCTGAACGCAGGTCACGAGAAACAGCCATGCTCCTTAGGGCTGCACCATCCAGGCAGATCCAGACAACTCCCGAGATGTTTCTCCAGTTTCCCCGCACAGAGCTCTGTTCCTCATGAAAGATGGGGTGTCGCTTTCTCCTGGGAAATGGGGGTTTGGTGTGTCCCATCCGTGCGCTCGGGTTGAGAGCTGGGAAGCCCCTAACACTCCTGTTTCCCTTCCCCAGGGTGGCGGAGAAATACGAAGAGAACAAGATGTCCCCAAACAACCTGGGCATAGTATTTGGGCCAACTCTGATCCGGCCCGGCTCAGGGAGCGACGTCTCAATGTCATGCCTTGTTGACTCTGGGTATCAAGCCCAGATTGTGGAGTTTCTCATCCAGAACTACGAAAGGGTGTTTGGGATGGAGGATCTGCCTTCATCCTTATCCCTCGGGTGTGAAAGTCCTTCGCAAGAAGCATCGACAGAAAAGGACAAAGGACCTCAAAGCCTGAACACAAGCCAGAATATGACCTTAGAGGTAGAGCTCCCAGATGCTGAGCTGGGCTTACTGACCCTGCTGTAGAGACAGGAAGGCGGACTAGCAATTAAAGGCAACTTTTTTTTTTCCACGGATAACAAAACCGTTTGCTTATCAGAGGGTTATTGCGAGGGGAAGGAGCAAGGGAGCCTGTTGCACATGGAGTGGTCCCTCAGCAGCTCCAGGTCCCTCAGCAGCTTCTGAGACCACTCTGGCTGGTGGTTTTCCCCCATGTTTTAGATCCCAAATCATTTTGAAAAAATTGCGGGGTTCTCCATATTCAGTTGCTCAGGGCGCTGCTGTAAACAGCTCTGCAATTTTGGGAGCAGCTCTGAACGCTTGAGACCCCACGCGTTCCCTGGTACAGCCTTACTGGGCTCTGCTGCATCCCCGGGCAGTGGCCACAGACCCTCTTCCAGCCCCCCCCCCACACCCCCGCGTTCCTCCCCAAGCTCCACGGCTCTTCCTTCACAACCCATCTCACAGCACTTTAAACCCACGAATGGGTTTAAACCCATTGTAAAGCTGGGGCCACGGTGGTTTAGTTTCCTTTCCATGGCTGGTTTGATGAGCAAGAAAGAGGAAATGGCTTGCCTAAAGTTAAGCCAAAGGGAGCGAGAGCCAAATCCGGGGACTCTGCGCCTCCCACTTTTGAGTCACGGGTGCTTATGTGCAAGCCGGCGGGTCGGCAGTCACCATATCCGCGGCTGACACGCGGTGACGCTGCTTCCTTGACGGGTCCAGCTCACTGAGGACGCAGAAATTAGAATAACTGTGATTGCAGCTGAAATAAAGTCACCGGGGTAGACGCAATCCATTTGGGTGGATAAATCCTACGGGATTTAGGGGGGTTGGACTAGAAGACCTCTAGGGGTCCCTTCCAACCCAAAGCATTCTATGATTCTATGATTCTATGATTAATAAACCTTCGCAGAGAGCACTCTGAGGCAGGCACCACCGTTGCCTTTGGCTGTTTTCAAAGCCGGTCTTACCCGCTTCTGCAGCGCGACCGAATTCCGCCGAAGGTGTCCCAAACCCTTTAAAAAGGGGGAGTCGCTTCTAAGGGCGCTCTCGTTTCGCCGTTAATAAAACCGAGCTCTGGAGCCCCTGGCTGGGGGGAGCTGCTCCTTGTGCAAACTCACACTGGCTCCGTCCCAACAGCGACTCCCAGGCACTCCCGTGTCCTTCCCTCCTCCTCCCGTTTGCGTTTGGCCATAATGACCACGCTCCCGTTAATGGCTGGGTTTGGGTGTTTCCCCTTTTTGTTCTGCAATGGGCTACCTCATTACGACGTGGGAACGGGTCCCACCACACTGCAGACGCTTTCCGGGGCGAGTTTTGCGGCCGCTGCATCACCAATGCTGGAGCTGGCAGGCCTGGAACCATAATTCCCTCTCACGGCCCTGCCCTGTGACTTTCCACAAGCTCCTTCCCTGTTCCTCAAGCGTTGCAGATAATTTAGGGCGAACCAAGGCATTTTTCGCTCAAGTGGTTGCCCCCATTTGCTTGGCTCTAGTGGCATTTGGGGTCAAAGTGGGGTTTGACAGGATCTTCACGTCCAATACGAGCCCTGTGTAAACACTCGTGGCTTTTCCCAACAGAATTTCTCCTCCAAGCACGGTTTAAATGTGGACTCTGTCTCTGATAACTCGTCTTCCAGGGAAGCCATCGATGAGCTGACTCCGGAGGGAGCCCACGGGCCGTTAAGCGCCGATGCCTTAGGTAAATCGAACGGTGATGGCGAGGCTGTTGCAGGTTGTCTTTGTGTTGGTTGGCGTTCTCCTGCCCGCCTGCCTCTCCATTACATGGCAGAGGAAGCATAGCTGGGCCCTCTCGGCATCACTGATCCGTCTTTGTGCAGCTCATTATTATTGCAGGGCAACCGCCGCGTAGCGCACGTGAAAGCGCAAGCGCTTTTCCCGCTGTTCTTGGGGCTTTTCCCGCTGTTCTTGGGGCTTTTCCCACTGTTCTCGGGGCTTTTCCCTGCTGCTGCCTCAGCTCTCGAGCCCACGGTCCCCTCTGCCAACTCTCCCAGCTTTCCAGCATCCAGGAGAGCTTTAAGGATACAAACACGATTCGTATCTCGTACCTCTTCCCGACGCGCGCCTTGTGATTGCGCCCGACGGACGGAGCGGTGGGGAGGGAGGCGGGTGTAGCCTGTTAGCGCAGGAGGGATTTGGGTCTCCATTCTAACGGGAAAAGAAGTCACCAGCCAACATGGTTTGTCGCGGTAACCTCGTCTGGCTCTCCTAAGGTTAACTGTCTGGTTTTTGTTTCGTTCAGAGGTGAATGTGAGCGTTGGCTCTGAGCTGGAGGACCTGGAGGACTCCACGCAGGAAAAGACCGACAGCGATTCGGACACGGCCCCAGGGACCCAGCCCAGCTGCCACTTCAGCCGACAGCCTGTGAAATACATTCGAACGCAGGCAAAACCAAAACCGGTCATTCCCAAGTCTTCCAAATTGCCTACCGCATCAGCCAACGTGGCAACGGAGCCTGGTGCAGAAGACAACCCTACCGACCGCAGCTCCACGGCAAAGGACACCCTGGAGGTTGGCACGAGGAGCAAGAACAGCTCGACCGACACAGGAGCACCCAGGCCACGCTCAGGAGGGAGACAGCAGCTCAAACATTTTGAGATCACGCAGGAAACCGCCAGGATTGTCTCGAAGCTTAAAGTCGACGACGCTTCTGTGTTCCCCGAGCCTCCTCTGGAGCGCGTGGGAGCTACGGAGAGAGCAGAGGAGCTCAACCCAGGGACGTACCTATAGGAAAAACCCGCGGGGTAACAGATCGTAGGGATGGAAAGGGAGCGAGGAGCGAAATCCTGCCGAGCAAAGGGATAGCGACGGGGAATATGAGAACAACATCCTATCGGTGTTTGCCATGGAGGCTGGGGAAAAGGCGCCCGCCGTGACCTACCCGGTGGGCTTTCAGCTCAGCCAGGTTTTGTTTTTTATTCACGAACAAATCCAAGTGAGCGACAAGAAGCAAGCCCAACGGCGCGTGCTCTTTGGAACATGCCCCGCTTAGCATGAAGGACAACACAAGAAGCAGGGGAAACACAAGATTGCCCAGCTAGGAAGATGTAGCCAGGAAGGAGGCAACTGAAATGTGGGACACGGGACAGAAAAGGTCCCCATGCGGTTGTTTTCCGGCAGCTGCCACAAGCACTGATCTTTGTAATTTTTATTTCACAGCTTTTTTGAGCGTAACTCACTTTTTAAGGGCAACAGGACAGGGGACGCAGGCAAAGCTCGTGTACTCTGCATCCTTCTGCTTCTGTCGCTGGAGCTTCAAAGCCCGAAGCCATTCTGCAAAGGGAAACAACACTGCCATGCTCTGAGCCGGACCCCATTTCTCCGGAACACGGATTCTGGTTCCCTCAAAGCACGTTGAGCTTCTGCAACACTTCCATGGGAAGCCGCTGCCGTCGTGAAGGTGGCAAAGCCCTGAACCCCCCCCCAGCCGATGATCTCTTGGGTGTAAGAGGTTGCTCTGACTTGCCGGATCTCCGGCTCGCCCACATGGGGGTTGCCCCAACGCTTCTTTCCTCCTTCCCCGCAGTGGATTTTCTCTCCACCAAGTTTTGAGGTACGGACAGGGAGGACTCTGTCCTACAGTGCCATCTCGTGACTGCTCTGGATCCTTTCTTCCCCCAGCCTGTATTGACACCAGGGTTGCCCCGACCCAGGGACAGGACCTTGCCCTTGGCCTTGTTGACCCCCATGAGGTTCCCATGACCCCCCCTCTCCAGCTTGGCCAGGTCCCTCTGGATGCCGTCCCGTCCTTCTGGCGTATCAACCGCACCACCCAGCTTGGGGTCACCTGCAGCCTTGCTGAGGGTGCGCTCGACCTCGCTGTCTACGTCATCGATGATGACATTAAACAGCGCCGGTCCCAGTACGGACCCCTGAGGGACACCCCTCCTCACCGGTCTCCATCCGGACATTGAGCCATTGACCACTACCCTCTGGATGCGCGGATGAAGACGCTCAATACTGAAAGGAAACGCTACGTGCTCCCCAAACAGCTCAAGGGGTGGAACAATCCGCTGTACAAATTTTGTGTCATCAAAATATTGTTAAGCAGCAAGACCAAGACGTAAAGTTGTAAAAGAAACGCTCCGGATTGGTCGTTAGAATTTGTACAGATCAGGCTAAAGAGAGCTTGCATCTCTAGAGCCACGTGTATTTGTTAATCCAGCACTTTGAATCCTCGAATGCTAAATTATCTTTTCCTGTGGGACTCCTGTAATAAACTACTGGGTGGTTTATCACAACCTTATCTCGTATTTGTTACATGTGAATAGGGAAGCCTTAAGTAAACACTTACCGGGCTATTATGGAAAGTGCCAAGCGCACTTAGGTCTCCATAAAACAAAGATGATTAGAATCGGAGGAACCAGCAGAGCCAGAATAATATCCCCAGTAAACCCTCCTTTGCCTGCTGCACGCTTAAATAGCAGCTCAGCTCTCGAGCCCGCCGTCCCCTCTGCCAGCTCGCCCGGCTTTACGGCATCCGGGAGAGCTTTAAGGATACAAATGTGATTCGTATCTTGTACCTCTTCCCAACGATTGCGATTGCGCCCGGCTGACGGAGCTGTGGGAGGGAAGCGTTAGGGGCTGGCATGGTGCAAGTCCTGCCTCCGCCACTCCCTTCCAGCAGTCCAACACGTACAAAAATGCTCTTCGAGACAACAAACCAGGCTTGCTCTTGCCTTGTAACTCCTCCTTCCTTGCTACTTTCCGCAGAGCCGGTAATTTGTTGAGGGTAGGAGCTCGCCAAAGCAACGCTTCCAGCCAGAGCTGCACGGCTGCCAGGTCCCACTGGCGCGGGGAGAGCTTGGACGCAGGGTCCGAACTGTCCCTCCTCCTCCTCAGGATGGGGATTTTCTGTCATCCAGCCGCAAGCTCGTGTGGTTTGGTTTGGAAGCCGAGATGCCAAATTTAAGAAGGAACTTGGCAGGGAGGGAAGCATCGTCTCCTCAGTTCCTCCCACCTCCTCGAGGCCACATCTTGGCTTCACAGGAACAGCAGCCTCAGCGACGCACGGTGAGGGACAGGCAACAGCCCTGGGAAGTGCTACCGAGGAACGCCCTCGTCTCCCAGTTCAAAGTAGGAGCAGAGAAAAATCTTATAAATACCCCGTTTTCACAGCGGCACCTTGTGTAGGCGGCTGCCAGACCCTCCACCTCAGGGCTACACCAGCGGCGTTATCGGTGGGTTTGATACCCCAAACCACAGCAGCCCCCTCAAGAACCCTTTTAGCAGCCAAACAACCAATAAAGCAATTTTTTTGTTTTTATACAAGCTGTGTTTTTTGTGTGTGTGTGCTTTTTGCGCACATTCTGAGCGACAGCCACTCCCTCATTAAGGAAATTAAAGATGCCAGGTCTTCACCAATAAGGATCCCACTGGGCTGCACAGGCTGGACTCTGAATTAGGGAAGCTCAAGCACCTGAGCATTTTAAGCAGGGGCCAAGAGGTTCCTTTTTCTCGGCGACGCCAGGCAGCGTTTGCCATTTGCTGACCACCAAGTGTTTCACCACAACCAGGCTGGTGACAAATCCTACCCCAACTTTCCTGCCCTCAGGTGAAGGAGCTCTTCAGTTTACCTTTATTCTTCTAAAAAAATTTAAAAAAAACAAAGCAAATGGACCTGCAGGTATCAGGAGTCCAGAGGGGAAAAATTCCCGGGTTTCTCCAGCAGAGTCTGCTGAGGGGGTCACCTTTGCAGGGTTCTAACAGAATCCCAGAATCCCAGCCTGGCTGGGGTTGGAAGGGCCCTCAGAGCTCACCCAGTGCCACCCCCCCACCCAAGCAGGGTCACCCAGAGCAGGGGGCACAGGACAGCGTCCAGGCGGGGGGTGAAGATCTCCAGAGAAGGAGACTCCACAGCCCCCCTGGGCAGCCTGGGCCAGGGCTCGGGCACCCTCCCAGGCAAGAAGTTCTTCCTCCCGTTCACCTGGAACCTCTTCTGCTTCAGGCTGTGCCCATGGCCCCTTGGCCTGGCGCTGGGCACCACTGGGAAGAGTCTGGCTGCGTCCCCGTGCCCCCCACCCTTGAGAGAGTTGTAGGTGGTGATGAGATCCCCTCTCAGCCTGCTCTTCTCCAGGCTGAACAAGCCCAGCTCCCTCAGCCTCTCCTCCTAGGGGAGATGCTCCAGTCCCTTTATCATCCCTGTTGCCCTCCTCTGGACTCTCTCCAGGAGTTCCTCATCTTCCTTGAACGGTGGAGCCCAGAACTGGGCACAGAGCTCCAGGGGGGGTCTCATGGGGCAGAGCAGAGGGGGAGGAGAACCTCCCTCGCCCTGCTGGCCACGCTCCTCTTGATGCACCCCAGGTGCCCTTGGCCTTCTTACTAACAAAGCAAGGGAGAGCAAAGCAAAAGACATCACATTTTTTTTTTAAGGAGCTCCAGGCTTCGGTCCAATTCTCCATTCCATCCTTCTCTTTTTCCTTCCTCCCCTGCCTCGTTTTAAGTCTTGTGCTGCTGTTTCTTGTTACCTAATTGGAGAAGCTCGATGGTGATTAAACCACACCTGTCAACTATTTCTTAAAATTACCCCCCAGGAGGGTCTGCAAAGGAAAACCCAAACCGGTTCAGGCCATTTATTAGCTGGCAACTGGATTCACACACAGGTGCTTCCTTTTGAACCGTTAGCACATCTTCATCCTTCACCTTTGAACCCTAGATTATAAAGACAGGGATGAGGGGCTTGCTGGGAGCCTTGGGCTTTGGTGGGGGAATATGGGGGCTTGGTGTGATTTGTTACTGGGTCCTCTGGCTTTTTCTAGGAGATTTTTTGCTTTGTGGAAGCCATCCTCTGAGGGTAAGCGGCGTTTGGTTTGTAGGCTGTGCCTCTTAAAATGTGCAATGTTGTGTTTGTTATTTCTTGAAACCGGTCCAGGTAGCGTCGTAAGGTGCTGGTTTATGGCTTGGGGGCCCTTTGTGGGTCATCTGCTGCCTGCTTTGAGAGGAGCTGCTGGGACACTGGTGCTCCCAGTGAGCCTGATCTCCCTGTGTAGCCCACGTGTGCCCTTAGAATGTGTTGGGTGATGGCTCACAAGGCAATAAGCTGTTGCTGGCTGTTTATGGGAGCTGATGGGAAAGGTCTTGCCTCAAGGTGAGAAGAGGCCAGCGTGAGCAGCTCTCTACAAAATGGTGGCCACTGTCTTCTCGAGGCCAGCTTGGGTACAGCTTGGGCTGGCGTTTGGGTGGGAGATTTGGTTCCTTGAGAGCGAGCTGTATGCACCTTGCGCAGGGGGCTTCCTTGGCCAGCTATGGCTAAAGATCCTCCTGGGCCACTGTGTCTTCCCTTGCTAGCCCAGCAGGTGCCAAACTTACTTTTATTCCTCCTTCCAAGCTGTTTTGTTGTTCCACACTCAAGCGGCTGGGTTAGCAGCAGGGGGTGGCTGTGTGTGGCGGTGTTCAGAGTCAAATGAAATGT